ATTCGATTTGATCGTAGCGGCGAGATTCTGGAAATATGTATTACCGACTCCACAATATATATATATATTCTGGAGTGGGTAGTAATATATATATATATATATATATGAGAATGCCATGATATCCAAGGCGCTATTTTTCGTGACACCATGTGGAAATATGTTGTTGGTAGAACAAAGTCATGTACATCAAGGGCTCCATCTTGAACGACGAAGACCTGCATCGTGTTGCCGTGGACACGGCCCAAGCCGCGTTCCTTTTAGCCGACAAAAACTCGAACGACTCGGTAGCTGAAGATGCCAACACGGTGCTGCGGTCCCTCGTGCTAGAAAACTACAACCCAGGTCAGTTGTTCCCATACACTATATATATAGGTTGATTCATCTCTCTCAACCTATCTTGGCATGTCGTCAGGGAAATATGTTTTCGTCATACAGGTTGATGAGTACTAGTGTTGCCCTTTTACCTAAAATTTGGTTGACTTTTGTGCTGAAAACATCGCCAACTCTATCGATCGATCGATTCTTTGTACTGAATTTTGTATGGAAAACGGTGTCCTGTGGTGATTGGTATCACATTAATTGAAGTCACACACTAATTTGATGTTCATGATGGTTTCCTGCAATCTGATTGGCTCAATTCTTCTGCCGATTCTTCTGCCAGGTTAGAATAAACACAACAATATACTATGTAGTATAACTATATACTATGTAGGATATCAGAGTTGGCAGACACAAATATTATATATATATATATATATATCGAAGAAATGGATATAAAATCGTACAACGATCACGGTTGGTGTTGCAAATGGTTTGTTGGCATTGGATTGGCCAATATTGATACATGGTTGGTGTGTTTTGATTGGTCGATGGATTTTACGCATTCAAGTATATTATGACTCGAAACAGTTAAATGGATAGTAATATTATTTTCGTAGTCGTCCATTCACGTTTGTATGATAAACAACCTTCTATATATATATATATTTTTTTTTTTGTGGTCGTCCATTCACGTTTGTATGATAAACAACCTTCAATATATATATATTTGTGATTTCTCACAATTCACCCCCTAGACCTGCAAATCTTTATGCAAGTCATTAGCCCGTCGTACACGGATTTCATCACGCATGTACGTACTCCTATATATATATATATACAGCGTTGGTACCAATTGATCGACACGTTCTTGGTGTAGAACGACTTGCACCATATTTTGTGTATCGACCAGCACAAATTGAGCTTGCTGGCCAAAAACTGTCTGTGCCCTGGACTATCTACGCTCGTGTGCAACTTGTTCCGGTCCACGGTGCTGCCCGACACTCTGTCGCATATCGAGTGGAAGCGCGAGTACGTTGAGGGCAGCACCATGGAGATCTACACAACTGCGACACCTTCGTACATGGTCGACTTGAGTTTTACAAAGGCTGCCGACATGCTGTACGACATTTTCGACGGCGAAGTGATCCTCGTGGGGATTCACGAAGGCAAAGGCGGCGCGTCGTCCAAATCTGCGACAGCGTCGTCGTCGTCCACTCTGTCGCACATGTGGAAGGGCATGAGCAGTACGTTCTTGTCAGAACGGTCGCCTGCCAAGAACCCGTCCAGAACCCAAACACATCAACACAACCCAGCGCCTTGTTGTTTGCATCCTCGGCCGTGGGAGCAACTCGCCCCTCATTGCACTACCTATGTGAACCCTGGCGCCAACTACATGCTCCAACCTCATCACATATTGTACGTGCTCTGTGAGAGCCGCAACGTCGCCCAACTTGTGAGCTGTCCCGAGTATTACTCGGCGTGGGTTCGCCGTGGCCACCACCATGTGACACCGGTTCCACCGAGCACTACTACTACTACTAGTAGTACTAGTACCCATCAAGCCCGGTATGCCCAGCCGTACGATTTACTGCAAGCGAATTCGCGCCTCGTGAGCACGCGCATCCCTCTCAGCCGCAAGCGAAACGACGTTGTGATCGCCGCCGTGTCCTCGGACGAAGAAGAAGAAGAATCTGGGCGAGGAAGCATCCGAGACCACATCATCGTCGTGTCGGATCTCGTGGATGTCCCGATTGAGACGTTTATTAAACCGTTGCGCCTGGCACATTACACGGATGGCAGCACGCACTACCGGCCGATTGTGTTTGTGTCGACCTGCGACACTGCGATTCAAGTCGCTTATGACGTGGCACGACATTACCACGGCGTCTATCTCATGCAGGTGGCCAACGATTCCAAAGAAACGTTCTTTAAGGCTGGAATTATGAACGTACGAAACATGAGGTTTATATATATATATATATATTTACGTATGGATTGAAAGGTGTGTATATATATGTATGTATTGAAACGTGTATATATTATATAGATGTATATATGCCTCGACCACACACACATGTTTGCTTATATTTGTATATATATATATTTATATATATAATGTACTCTATGCGTCCAACACATATGTATATGTATGTGTATATATATATATTGTATATATATACATGTATGATGTAATCTTTATATGGGTAATTTTCAGGATATGATTTCGGACAGTTAGTGTAATATGTGTGTATGTCCATGTTGTTTGTCTTCAATGTCGTATTTTATCGTCTGGTTTCCTAGTACTGTGATAATATATATATATCTCGTCCTAGGTTGGTTTGGTGGATATGAGGATACTACTATCTACTTATAATATATATATATTTGGAGTGACTATAAAATGTATATGTAGGCCAAGTGCTGTGTATTATTAGCTGAAAAGTCTGGCCAGCGGGTGATGGATGGCGAGAGTCTGGACAACCGAGTCATCTTTCGGTACCTGACGGTGCAAAAGATCCTCGAAAAGCACAGCGCCGCCATGTCTCCCGACTTTGCCGTGTTTGTCGAGATGGCCGCATCCAGGTACATCCTTGTCGCAGTTTTGGGGTTCCCCTTGTCGCAGATTTGTATATATGTACTACCTGTAGCACCATGAAAGTGATGGACACGACCCTCACCAAGCGGTTGACGTCCGTGGCCGCGCATCTTCACAGCTTCCCCCGGCCGCCCCGCGGCAGTCCGCTGTCGCCTTCAGATAATCGTCCGGTTGTCGAGCGCATGAGTATCTTTTTGGACTCGTACGTGGATCGTCGAGATTGAAATATATATAGGATTTGAAGTATATATATATCAAAAGTTAGTCGATTGAAATATATATATCCTTCGAAGTTTACATATATAAATAAATGTAGTCGATTGAAATATATATATATTTGTAGATCATATATATAGTCGCCTCGTAAATGCCTGAGTATACCATCTCTTTCAGGTTCATTTCCATGTCATAGATGGCGATATAAAGTTCCCTTTCGTATTCGAACGACAACCACCATATTAGTAGTGTGTGTCTGAATCGTATAATTCATGTTTTTTAATCCTGTTAAATGTGTCGTTTATAAAATATGTATATATTTATTTATTGTTACTGAATTACCGAAAACGGACGATCCTATTATATGTTTTCGTCGACATAGTATATACATTTATTTGTCGTGCCGTTGCACACCATGAAGTTGTTTTCAATTTGGACAATATTTATTTCCAATCTTTTAATCGTTTCTCATATACTACATGATTTGGGACGACGACGACATTGAATATCATTGCATCATCCTTATAATATATATATATATAAATTCACGTTTGATATATATTTCATATCTATAATACGATAGACTCGCCGAGACCCACAAGATGGCCCGTAAGCGCAAACAGCACATGAAATCATTCAAGCAAAAGCGCCCGTGTGAGGCCAAAGCGGCCGTGGTACTGCCGTTTTACGCGGCCGGGTACGGCGTCCCGACAGACTTTTTCGATAGTCTGCTGTGCCAGAGCTATTTTACCCCCGAGTTGCTCCGATTTGCCCAAGAGTTGCTGTGTATGGACCAGCGATCGCCCACGTCGGACGGGGCGAACGTGTCGAGTTCGCTAAGCCAGATCCCGTTGCCCGAGTCATTTGCGGGCAAGTTGTTTGGCGATTTGTTCACGTACTTGCTCACATATGAAAGCGTGATTGCAATCGGATTATACCGGAATTCAGCCAGCCGCGCCACGTTGCCGTACGTGTACACTGTGCCCAAGCGCAACTCGGTGCTCCGAGCCGACGATTTTGTGTTCATTTTGGCACAGCCCCATACGCAAATCGCATTGGAAAACGCCATCGACTTTGAAGCGGACGTGGTCGAGTCTCGGATCAAGAACATGCACATCACAAAGTGTACGATTCAAGCGGCGCTGCACCAGATCAAGCTCAAAAAACAGATCCGGGAAGGGGCGGCCGCCGTGGTGGTTCCCCAATATGAAGAAGGACAAGTAGTAGACAAGACCACCGCTGGCGACCATCGATTGTGATTTGGCATATGCGATAACGTTCGTTGGACGAAGTATCAACCACTGAATTTTAAAAAATCAAGAGATAATGTTGGACAAAATATCAACTGGATTTACTGTTAAAAATGGAGAGCTAAATTGAACTAAAACCTTGCAAACTTTGCGTGGTTTGTGTTCAAATGAATATGGAATCACGCTGGAATTTTCTGATTGGTTGAATATATGTGTCCTTTCTGTAAATGCACCAATCAAATCCACTCAAAATTCGATTAGCCAATAGCGTCAGTCGATTCGACGGGCCTGGAAATAATTATTTGTACCGAATCCACAATAACGTGTTTCAAGTCGAGTCCAAATGGAGTTTGCACTTTCAAGTGGAGAGATCTCAGTCGTCTAGCAATCCAACGACGTCGTTCGTCCCCGGCAGCCCCCTCGCGGCACGTTGAATGGATAATGTGTTGTCTGATGTAACAGCCCAGATACATGCTGACATGCTCATAACCCCAGCAAGCAGTGGCAGAGTTGGTGTGCTTTGTGTATTTATGTCGATCGATTCAAAGCGTTTCACTTCTCGGCTGGGTCAGTTGTTGTTGTGGCGAAGGTGGTGACGACGACAAGAGAGACCACGATACTAAATCATTCAAACCCACCTACCGATGGTGTCAAGAAGGACGTGGACGGGTGGGGACAATTGCCAAATTCACCAGAACCAACCGAGCAGGACATTTCACACGAGTGAATAAATAGTTGACCAACAAGCCCACTTCTACATGACCCGTGGGTTATATAAATGGCGGCAGTACCGAATGGAGCTGGCGTCCATGTACTTTGGTTTCCTACTACCGGTACAGTACTTGTGCTGGTGGTATCGAAACGCACGTCGGTGCGACAGAGTGGACAAGACCGGCTCGCTGTCCACGAGGGGGAAAATGACCTATGGAACCGGCCTCGACACATGCCACCACCCGCTTGAGATGACACTCTTGATGACGGCATTCATGACAGCGATAGCTAGGTATAGATAGATGGAAGTGACAAGTTGAAGATGCTAGTTGTCCATAATGCTAGTCGGACGGTCAAAGTGTTGAACCCATAAAGACAAGGATTCATCATCCGCCAATCACTGTCAAGTTTGAATCCATGCCCAATCAAATCCGTTTTTAGGGATTCACCGGATAAACAAGCTCCTGTATCCGTATGATTGGCTAGATGGCTCAATAATTGTACATGCCGTCGTCGTCGTTGGCGTACATTCGCACGGCAGCGGCGGAAGACGTCCGCGTTGCCATTGTGTTGGGGACGAGCCTACTCCTAGCTATGTGGTTTCTTGCGAGACGGATGTCCAAGGGCGGCGGCGTCGGGCGTGTGTTCCTCAGCGACCTCGCACGTGTCGAGTGCTTGTCCACGGACCGGTTGATGCACAAGGTGGTACTTCCAGCGCGGCAGCCCAACGCTTCCAAGCGGCTGGTGTTGTTAGTTCCGGGGAACCCTGGCGTACCTGGTTTCTACGAGCCTTTCATGCAGCGGTTGCATGCATTGGGAGGTCGCGACTGCGAGATCGTCGGGCTGAGCCACACGGGCCATTCTCTGCCGTGGATCAACGACAACGCCGCGTTCGATTTGGAGACGCAGGTCGTCGACAAGGTCGCATACGTTCGCAAACGTATCGAGAAAGACCCCACCGTGTCACTTGTTTTGATTGGACACTCCATCGGGTGCCACATTGCCCTGCGGTTGCTCGATCAATTTCCAACCCACGTCGAGAAACTTGTGCTCATCCAGCCCGCCGTCATGCACATACGCGACACACCGCGGGGCCAGCAAATGATGCCGCTGTTCGTGCACCACCAGTGGGTAGCGTACCTGGCGTGGCCCATCGCCCAGTTGCCGACGCTAGTGAAGAAGGTGCTGGTTGCACTGGCGGTGCCCCCCCCCGAGTTTCACAAGGCTGCGCTTGGCATGTGTGATCACGTGGTGGTGCTCAACTGCCTCAAAATGGCGTGGCACGAGATGCACGAACTCAAGGACATCAACCACGCCCTCGTAGCCGACCACCAGCACAAGATCCAGTTTGTGTTTTCACAGCACGATGGATGGTGTCCTCCCGCGCACGTCGAGCTGCTCCGACGGCGATATGTGCATGCCAACCACGTCGTTGTATCGCTGCCCCATGCGTTCATGATGGCGGCCAACGGGTCGGACGTGATGGCGGACCTCGCGCATGCCTGGCTCAATGAAACACAGCTTGCTGCGAAACCACCAGTTGGCCACGTAGTTGCTCCGCCACCACGGGCGTAGCCGAGGCATAACACAAGTAGACTCACAAGTAGACTCATACAATCGACTTGAATACGGTGATCGACACAAACCCGATTGTACTATTAACCCAGTTCATTCGTCGTTATGCTCCACAGACGTCGTAAACTCAAGGCTAGCGTAGTACTAACTTACAGTAGTATTAATCCAAGTCAGTAAACCTTACGATCAGTAGATGGGTTAATGAGCAGCAGATCAAGTAAATTGGAAATAACCCATGCGACTTCCAATAAAACTCACCACTTGATTAGAGATCGACTAACTGACGAACTACTCGATCTCAGACGTGATGTATTAAACCTTAGTATCAGTAGTACGTTAATTGTTCAGCAGTTGAGGTAAAATGGAAATAACCCATTAGAAACTGAATAGTACTTATTACTAGATCAGTGATCGAGGTACTGACCAAATACTCGATCTCCGATTTGATGTAGCGTCTTAAATTTACATACTACCGGTAGTTGAATTCCGAATTATCATATTACTTGATATGTAATATAATGTACTGACAATTTACTGATCTCTTAGCGAGTTCGAGAATCTAGCTGTGTATATACCGCATCGTGGGCAAACTCGGGCCTGTAAACTGCGTAAAACGGAAGGCACTGTTGATATGATATGCGAATTCAGAAGAATTTGAGCGTTTCCAATCGTATTGTACTCTTGAAGCTCCTGACAAAAGCCACGACAAAGGTCTCGATTAAAACGCATGTCATTGAAATATGGGTTTTTACCAAAACACCAAATAATTACCAAGAATCAATACTTTTCATGTAAAGGCTGGGCAAAACCAGTGTGTTGCTCCAAAAACGTACTTATTAAGGTAATTAGAATAAAAACCTAACAGGGTAAACAAACACTAGGGTAAACTATGTTGACCAGCAGCTTTTGCCGCCAAAATGTGCATTGGGATACAAATTCACTTCACTTACACTCTCACTTTGCCATTTCAACCATGCCTATCAACGCAAACGCCGTCCTCAACCGCCTCAACGATCAAGCCGTGAGAGATCGCACCTTTCTCCAATCATGCTTGGCCGACTATGGTGACGCCGCCCAAGAGACCTGTGAACGGAGCCTTGGATGCCACTGATATCCAACGCAATCAGTTAGTCTCCTCGGATCGCGTGATCGTCGAGA